TCGAGAAATTATCCATTTTTTAATTCTCAATCTTAGCACTAACTTTGAGAATATTGGAATCTTTCACACACACACAGCCAGGCTGTGCGCCTAACCTTGGTTTGATCTAGTCTAGGTATTTATTTTTCCACTTTTTATTTGTTTACTTACTTGATTTTTTTTAAAAGATTCCAAAATGAATTTTATTTATGATAAATCAAAATAAAATCATCTATAACATATTTTCACCGTTTGATCAATGATACATGCCATGAAAATTATATTTAATTTTTATTTGTAAATTTATATATTTTTGCACGTTTTATTAAAAATTAAGAGAGTAATATCTTATCAAATCATTTTAACATAATATTTTAAATTGTTAGGTAAGGTTTTAAGATATAATTTATATTATTTTTGAATATATTCCTTTAAATAAAAACTCTTTGTTCTTGAAACTTGTACAAATCCATATTATATTGTGTTTAATTTTTATTAAATCAATAAAGATAATGAGATTCAAACTTACAATTATTTAGTTATTAATATTTTAATACTATATCAAAAAACCATATCAGTTTAATGACTTAAATTATTAAATAAAATTCTAAAATATAATATATATTATTTTCTATCAATATCAACAACTATTTATTTGTTTCATACTCTTTCCTATGAAAGCACTCTTGTACTAAAATTTAGCCTGCTAGAAGAACTTCAGTGACATTTGTGTTTGTATGCTGCCTGTGCTTTAGCATTGGGTCCAGGTTCAATCTGCGGGTGGATTCATCTTCATTTCTAAATCTTGTGATTACTCTGTTTTAATTCAGGCGGATCCAAAGCTCAACCTGTCTGAGGAAGTTGAAGCATCACACATTCCATCAGTGGCTGTTTCTAAGAGCTCTTTTCCAAATGTTGGTTTAAATTTAAAAGAAAAGATCCAAAATAACAGGGTAGAAACAGATGAGCCTCATGAACAGGTATGCTTCGTCACTGTATCTTTGTTTTTTTGGTGCTAAAATAATTCTCGTTCTTCAAAAATCAGTTTGTAATTTGTCAGCTCTCCATCATTTCGTTTCAGGTTCATTAGACAACAGTGACGGAATGTTAATTATTTGAACCTAAGACCCTGTCCTCTGTTGGGTCTCATGAAGCAGAGCTGCCAAACATCTCACCTGTGGCTGTTTATGAAAACATTCAGTCATGGTCTATCTGGTCCTAAAGCAAGTGAATGGATTAAAGTTATGAAAGAAGAAATGGAGTCAATGAAAATTAATCAAGTTTGGGACTTGGTTGATTTACCATCAAAATGAAGATCCATTGGAAATAAATGGGTTCTTAAAATGAAACGTAAGACGGACAGGTCAATAGAATGTTATAAAGCTCGACTAGTAGCAAAAGGTTATACACAAGAATAAGGAATTGATTATGAAGATACATTCTTACCAGTTGTGAGGATTACTTCAGTTTACCTCATTTTAGCTATAGTTGCACATATAGACCTTGAGTTATATCAAATAAATGTTAGAACTGTGTTTCTCAATGGAGAACTAAATGAGGAGATCCATATGGATCAGCCTTTCGGATTCGAGACTAAAGGTTAAGAGCACAAAGTTTATAAACTTAAAAGATCCATATATAGTCTTAAGCAAGCCTCTAGACAATAGAACGTTAAGTTTCATCAAGCTATCCTTAAGGATGGTTTTACAATGATAGAAGAAGATCATTGTGTGTATTTAAAATGTTTTAACAATAGTTTTATAATATTATCCTTATATGTTGACGACATCTTAATAGCTGGAAATAGTAAAGAAATGATTGATACTACTAAAAAGTGGTTATCATCAAACTTTGAAATGAAAGACATGGGTGAGGCCAACTATGTACTTGGTGTGAAAATCATAAGAGATCGCGCTAAAAGGCTTTTGGATTTAACTCAAGAGACTTATATCAAAAAGATGTTAGAGCGCTATCACATGCAAGATAACAAACCAATGGACACTCCTGTTGATAAAAGTTTGAGCTTAAGCTGTGATATGTGTCCCAAAACTCTAGAAGAAAAGGAGAAAATGTTTAGAGTACCTTATGCTAGTGCTGTAGGTAGTTAGATGTATGCAATGATGTGCACACGTCCCGATATATGTTATGCCGTTGGATTGGTTAGCCGATATCAATCAAACCCTGGTTAGAAACACTGGATGATAGTCAAAAGGATTTTACAATATCTGAAAGGAACTTCAAATTACATACTATATTACAAAGAAAAGAAAGATTTATGATTGATTGGTTTCTCTAATGCTGATTATGGAGGAGATGTTGACCAATCCAAGTCAACTTCAGGATGTGCTTTCTTGCTTAATGATAGTGCAATACTATAGAGGAGCAAGAAATAATCATGTATAGCTTTATCTACCATGGAGGCTGAGTATGTCGCTTGTTCCACAGCAACATAAAATGTTGTTTGGTTAAAAACTTTTCTGTATTATTTGAAAATTATCAAATCAGCATCAAACCCAGTGACAATTTATTATGATAACACTGCTGCAATAGCTGTAGCTAAAGATCCAAAATACTATGTAAAGACCAAACACATCAAGATGAGATATCACTATATTAAAGAAGCAATTATTGAACAAGATATGATCCTAAAACACATTTCTACAAATTCTATGGTTGTAAATCTATTCATAAAACCAATAACAAGGGATGTATTTGTTAGACATATGAGATCCCTTAGCCTATATAGAATGTAATTAGTTTTAAAGATCATACGAAAGCTTACAGTGATTGAGAGATTGAGTAATGAATAAATATCTTTTGAATATCATTTTATTCATTATTTGTTTCATGAATATATTATGAGTATCGTATAATACAATTTATTATAATAGATCGATAGACTTAGATTAGCTCATTCACATAAGCAATCACTTTTAGCACTTGTAAGGTGAGTAGAGACGAGACTATTTGAGTTTTAATGCTTAATAAGCGATTTGGGCATAGTGAGAACAATTTTAACTTAAAATGATTATTAAAAAGTCATCTTGGCTGGGACCAAGATGAGATTCTTAAATAAAAGAATCGACATGAATGAATTCCCACCATTCATGTGTCTATTATGATTAAAGTCGAGTATGAAATTATTCATTTGCCACTAATAAAAAATAAACAAATGAGAATTTTTTATTTGAAGTTTGTTTTTAGTAATAAGACTAAGACTCGTATAATGTATTTCCTTTAACAAGGAGAGCAATGACAAACATTCTTTGTCTTAAGAAAAGAAAAGAGTAAACTCTATTATAACATGTATTTCATACTACATGTGTTAGCGACCGTTACAGGAATAAAAGAATGGATCCCTGCTTCTTTATTATATGAGTCTTGAAGATCATATCTAAGATCTTAAAATCTTACCCTTTATGACTTTTGACTATATCATGAGGTGATGCATTAATGATCGCTACTTTAAGAGTATATCCTATAGTCATGGAATGATTCAACTTAAAGGGATACTCTTAGGAAAACGAGTTAATTCAAATTTGATTGATATGTGAGCGAAAGAAAAAGTAATTTTAGTTTTATACTTGTTACTTGCATTCACCAACCGGGATCATATCACTTGAATAGATTTGATATGATTTAGAATACTTGTAATTGTAAGAATGGATTGAGTATGAAAATTCTTGAGGGATTGAATTATATTTAGTCATGTGTAACTAAAAATGCTTAGGGTATATTAGTACACTTTAAGGAATAATTAATTATGAGGTTGATGTCTGCTATATAGCCTGTATTAGGTTTATATATTGGAGCTTCTTTCACTGTGTACTTCAAGTCACACGATCCGTTCGTCAAGTATGAAATTCTTGTGCAAGTTTGAAGTATAATGTATTAAAAAGATTCAGTTCTTCATGAACAAGTGAGAGATGTTGGTTATTGGATTAGGTCTAGTCCGCCCAGTGGCGGAGGCAGGGGGAGGCTGGCAGGGGCCCTGGCCCCTGCAGGAAATGTTTTTCCCAGCTCCCTTCCTTGTAAATAGTATAAAAATAATTAAAAATTTAACTTTACTCCTCTTAATTTTTAATTTGACCCCTTTAGTTTTTTTTTCTTGCTCCGCCCCTGAGTCTGCCCATGATGAATGAACCTGATCCAATTTATTAAAGAAGTTACTAAGAAAAATAACTACCTTCTCTAATCATATATAAATAGACATAACCCATATAGAATTATAAGCTTTCATTATTAAAAGAACATAGTTCTCTCTTTCTCTTTTCCTATCTTAATTTTTTGCATTGACTTGATAAGATTTACAAAGATATTTGTACTATGAAATATCACTTTAATTTTAAGTTTTAGTAATTAAAATGATACTAAAATAATTGATTCAACAAATTCTTACAAGTAAGTTTTTATTTTCGATTTACAAAAATAACAGGGTAGAAACAGATGAGCCTCATGAACAGGTATGCTTCGTCACTGCATCTTCGTTGTTTTGGTGCTAAAATAATTCTCGTTCTTCAAAAATCAGTTTGTAATTTGTCAGTTCTCCATTTCGTTTCTGGTTCATTAGGCAACAGTGACGGAATGTTAATTATTTGAACCTGAGACCCTGTCCTTTGTTGGGTCTCATGAAGCCGAGTTGCCAAACATCTCACCTTTGGCTGTTTTTGAGAGCCCTTCACCATATTCAAACAGAATGATAACAAATGGGCCTAATGAACAATTTAGAAATCAGTTTGTGCAAAATTGTGACACGTGCGGATCTCTGGCTGTAGCTAACTATTGCTGTCGGGAAAATGTGCAGATAAGTTAACATGGCTTCTAACACATTTGTTCTCGGTCATAATTCTACCAAATTACGGCATGTTTTGCTTTATGGGAAGATGTCCTCTGCCTTATCTACATGTCTACTGCCTGTTCAGTGATGGTGTATACATTCGACGAAGCTTGCATGAACTATCACTTGATTATTTCTTGATAGGAAGTCAGGGGACAAAATGCTACAGTTGAACTAGATGTTGATGGCAACAAGCAGGTGGGAGAAACGCACGATACGCAGCAGAGCAAGAGGATTAATAAACGAAAAAAGAATGATACTCAACAGACTAAGTACACTCCTAAACCAAGAAAAACTACATCTGTAGTTCGGAAGTTTTCGAGTAAGGTTCAAGAAAATGTGAGGTACATGCCAAATGCCCAGTTTGCAACAAAGAGCTCTGTGCTAAAAGCAGGAATGGAACTACAAGCCTACACAGACACGGTTGTTTTAAAGATTCGAAGAAAGATGAAAAACAACAGTCAGTTTCTAATGTCGAGTCTAGTGCTAAAGCAAACCCAAAAAACAAGGCTTCACCAATCATTGGAGCTGGTGCTCCTCCACAAGCAAAGAGGAGAAAGCTAGTAGCAAATGTAGGAGAGGAAAGAGAGGAAGAAGAAACTTCTAGTGCTTGTATGTTACGTTATCTGTAATTTGTCAATATTCTTTATCTTGTCTTTATTAGTCTTACTATGCCCTACGTTATCTGTAATTTGTCAATATTCTTTGTCTTGTCTTTATTAGTCTTACTATTTATGAATTTACTATGTGTTCTGTATCTTCTTGTTGATGAAGCTACAAATGCTATTGTTATGACTGAGGAGCAATATCCTATTGTTTCAGGCATCGGTCAAGCAGCAGTTTCTGGTCTAGCTCATGACCAAGTACAAGAATTAACAGCACAAGACAACAGGGCCAAATACCAGCAGCACCCAACAACGTTGACCCCTCTTTCACCATGATCCAATAACATGGAGCCCTAAATCACTGCAAGACCAAACAACATTGGACAAGTTTGTTTCATTCAAAACTGGAGTATTGGCTAAAAATAAAATCGATGGATCTATTAGATCAATTTTAAATTTGGGTGACTCTTTCATCTAGTAGAAACTCTTTTTTTTTTTAAATATGATTTTTCTATTATCCAGAGACATTTCTTTTTTTTACTGGCTATATTTCTCATTTTGTTATAAACTCATTTCAAATTTCATTTTATAAATATTAAAAGATTTTTTTTTTCATATAGAATTTAAAGTTATTTAGTATATATACTCCGTATTCACAAGAAAAAAGTTATATTTTTTCATTATAAAATAATAAACTTATGTAATTTAAATATTTCAACTTAAAAAAATAAAATAATATCTTTCTAATGTGAGATAAAAAATCTTTTGAAATAATATTTTAAACTTAATTTCTTACCTATATAGATGAACTATTTCTTAATTTTTTCATATAAAATATTAAAATATCAAATATTTTTTTGAAATTTTTACAGGTGACCCAAAGACTTGACCAACTTTATTTCATTCAAAATTTGATTTGCAATTGGCTCAGAGTAAACTAGTCGCCCTACTGGGTCAACCAAAACTCGGATGATCCTGCATAAACCCGATAGAGACTTTTTTTTTATAAAAAAATATATTCTAGTTGGTTGCTAACTCATTTCAAAATTCACTATATAAATACTATAATAATGTTTTATTTTTGTAATGTGAGATTTGAAACCCATTAGTATATATATATTCTATATTCACAAAAAAAAAAGTTATGTTTTTTTTTTAATATGGGATCATAAACCGTTTTGGTTTAAATACTTCAACTCAGAAGAATAAAATAATATCTTTCTAATATGGGATAAAAAACCTTTTGAAATAAATATTTAAACTTAATTGTTTATAACATGTATAACCTATATCTACATGAATTATTTCTTAATTATTTTATATAAAATAATAAAAACTAAGCTAGGTTTGAAAACTATGGTTGCTATGAAAATATAACTTTAGAAAATACAATTGAAAAGAAATAAAATGACGTGTGTCTGGTTAAAAAACTAAAAAACCATACAAAAGTAGACAAATCCTCCTTTCTTTTATTTCGTTCAGAAGTCTCTTTTAAAAAATATTGATTTTTTTTGTTATGTGTTTACTTTTTAGTGTGGTTTTTCTAGTTCATATATGATTTTGTTTTTATCTTCTATATAAATAAACTATATTTTTGAAATTAAAAAATATTTATTTTTATATAACTATGTTTTTGAAATTAAAAAATATTTATTTTTGAAAGATATTCTTAATATGTGTAGCTTTACATGTTATTTCTTTTTTCTTATTCAATCAATTTAATGTTTTATTGTTCATGATTCAATATTTTGATCTACATTTATCTCTTGGTTTTTTAAATTTTGGTTTTAAGTGTTATTAATGTTTTTTTATTAATTTATTAATATATATAATTTTTAATTTATTCCATTATATATATATATATATATATATATTATCGGCTGTAGACCGTAAGTCAATATAATAGTAAGAGGGTGTTTGTTTACGCGGTTGCGGCTGTGTTTTAATTAAAACGCAGTTTGCAGCTGTTTGGTAAAAAAAAAGAAATGATTTACTGTACATGTTCCTACACAATTTTTACGATTAAAACATAGTTAATAAAAAACAGATAAATGCTGCTTTTTATTCGCTGTATACGTTAATTGCACTGTTCAGTGAACAGTGTAATTAACATAAACAGTGCACTGAACTGCACTGTTCACATTGAGTTGCACTCTTCACGTGAACAGTGCAATTCACTTACACTGTTCATACAGTTTTTTTTTTAGTTTTAATTTTATTAATGTTTTTTTAAGTGTTAATTTTATTAAGATTTTTTTATTAATATTTTTTAATTTTATTAATATTTTTTTAAGTGTTAATTTTTTAAATATTTTTTAATATTTTTAATATTTTTTAAGTGTTAATTTTATTAATATTTTAAAAAAAATAGTTTATAGTGAATTAAATTTATTTGTACATAATTTTTTTCAAACCACAACTATAATATCTACCACAACACCAAATACACTCTAAATAAACTAAAATGAAAGAGGTTTGAACTGTTCTTTATCCAGCTGGTGCACACTCTCAAGATGAAAGTAGACGGGTAAAGGCCAAAGGAAAGAAAGAAGCATTAGTGCTGTTCAGTGTTTACAGTGATTTTGCTAGTCGGTACTTACATGTAATGTGATGATTGGCCAAAACGCTAACGCTAGTCTGGATAGGCAACAAAGCATGAGTACTTGCATGCAATGTGATGATAGGCAACGAGGACACCTTGAGAAGAGAATTAAGCACCACGTTATTATTATTTGTATTTCGCAACAACCATAGGAAGGAAATCACATGAGCCCTGTCTGTCCTATGCTCTATACCCTGCCTAGCAAAACAAAATCTTGTGAACGCATAGAGGGATGAAAGCAAAACAAAATCTTGTGCTTTGCTTCATCCCTCTTTTGTTTTGCTTTGATTTCATCCCTCTTTTGCCTTTGCTTTCATCCCTCCATGCTTCAAAACAAAAGGTAGTTGGATATCTTTTGTGTTTGCATTTGCTAATTTTCATCCCTCCATATTTTATTTTATTTACTAATTTTCTAATAGTGTTTGTTCATTAGATTATATTTGAGTCATTGACTCCTTAACTAGCAAAGTACCACTAAAGATTGAATATATATGAAAACATTGCTATAAATAATATAGTATTGATTCCGGATTAGAGGATGCAAAAATCCACTTAACTTAATCAGATGAAGAAAGGAATTAATTTTTGCATTGTACAAAACTCGTAATTCAAGTATAACATATCAGTATCCTTTACCTCCATTAACAAATTTGATGTCCACAATGGCATTTTTTACTTGCTTAATGGTACTACGGAAATGGGCATGTATGATTCTTTGATCTCTTCATCACATTACCCGGTTAGTTCCAAGGAAATATGCAAATGAGAGGATTAGATTATGTGCACTGTATACCCCTCATTAATTAATTCACTCAAATACCTAGCACTATTAATTAAAAAAAAAAAGTAGATATACTCGAATTTTTACTCTTTCTTTTACATGAACATGGGATCTCGTATATATCATGGAAATTATTCATAAATCTTACTTTTATTTGAGAGAAAGAAGTACAAATTCAGATGTATTAATTCCTCCCGTGCGTATGCCATAATAAAGACATGTTATAATAAGCAATTGTGCTCTTTGTAGATAATTCATCGATTATCAGCAAGTTAAACACTAGTTTAAGGGATTTTGACCAACAAAAAAAGGAAGTTTAACGAAGGATAAAATCACTACGAATTTTTAACAATATCATCGTACAAATTCTTATTCATAACCAAGTTCATCAGGTGATGTACATAACAAGGTATACACCATTATATATATCCCCAGTGGCCATTGCCTAAAACACCATCATCAGTACTCTTTCTTCTGCATAAATGAGACGACTTTGCAATCAGTACTAACATACAGATCACTGTAGGGAGTAGGGATCTGGAGTCGGTACGTATCCTTGCTAGGTAGCATAGTTGAGCTGGCTCATGGTCATCAACGGAGATGCGATGATGATGAAAAACGCAGTGACACCAAGGCCGATGGCAACTTTCCCTAACATTCTGGATGCAACAGGGAACGTTTTGCTAATAAGCTGTGAAACAATGAGAGAAACAAAGGTAAGTGTGATACAGACAAAGCGCAAGCAGAACTTAAGATTGGGTTTTGAATGTTGATTAATTTTTTCATATGCAAGATCAATTTCCAGAGATGCAGCGAAACAGAAAGCCACGAGTATCTTTTCCCATGGCACCCTCTTATTAACACCACTCTCTGTATTGGTTGGTTGCTCGTTGATTGCAATGGAAAGCTCTTGCTGTTGCGGTTGCTGTTGCTGTGTACCTTCTTGGTCGACGGCAGGAGAGAGTACTTGTGGCTGTGTACTTTCTTGGTTGCCCTGCGACTCCGGATCCGTAGCCGGAGAAGAAGGCTGTAAATATGATGGTTGTGATGTTTCTTGGTTGACAGTAAGAGAGCGTACTGGCGGTTGTATTTCTGCTAGCTGCGAATCCAAAGTAACCACCGAAGAAGAAATTAGTGGTGCATCTCTTATACCACATACCAGCCGGGACAGATATGTTGCTGCTGAAACATAAGTACTTAGTGCTATGCCCATGACTGTGTACGTACTAGCTGTGTTTTAACAAAACATGTTTCAAATAGGAGAGGAGAAGCAAGAGCAAGGCAATGCAGATCATGCAGGTATTTTTATAGAGATGTGTTTCAACAAAATATGTTGCAGGAGCAAGAGCAAGCAAACGAGAATGTAGGTATTTTTATAGAGAGCCAATATTTGGATTGTAAGTATGGGTATTTGGATTTGGAATGTAGTTGACAGTATGGATTGGAATCGTGGGGGTCCAACAAGGGGCTTTCCAAGGAGTTCCTATAACCGGGAACATATACAAGAGACAAGAAACATGCATCTGACTAAGCTAACACAATGAAACATCTGACTACTCTTTTTTTTTCCCCTTCGTAAATCTTTATTAATGGAAACCTTTCCGGGCAGTGGATGTTCCTTCACTTTACACTGTTCATTTAGATTCAGAGTACTGTACACTGGATCAATGCAGTGATGTTTCTGCCATTCTCGCCCATCTGACTAAGCTAACATACTGTTTTTTTTCCGCCGCAATTCTTTATTAATGGAAACCTTTCCAGACAGTAGATGCTCCTTCACTTTACACTCTATCAATATAGTGACGTTTATGCCATTCTCGCCCAGTTTTTTGAAATGGTGCATGAGTGGAGGTAATACACTCTTTACATAAAAAT